CTATGGAGATTGCTCAGTTTTTCGTCGGATCTTCCATGAAATTAAGGTCGGATTCTCAATTTGATCGTTTATTTTCCTTTCAATTCGAGAGTATGTCGCTGGAGATTGAATTTTTCATTAGCTGATTGGGAAAATCTAGGAACGGCGTTTGTGGGGTTACTCGAGCTGGATTATCATCCGTAAACCTACCCAGAAGGATGTTTATGCAGGTCGCTGGGTTGGGTTCGGTCTTGACGCTTGTAAATTTTCCTGGCTTAGCGGCGCCAATTCCTGAGATGAAGGAACCTGAGGTGATCAGGTAAATAAAAATGGTGCTTTTCTGAGCTCTATCTGGTTTGGATTTTGATTGAATGCATTTCAAATTGTAGACGTTTCTCATGATTATGTCATATTTCGTGTCTGATATTCACGGTGTTCAATGCAGACCACAGGTCATAATATCCAGATAGTTTCAAGTAGAGCATGAGTTGCAATATTTTATGGCTTACTGTTCAATGTGATTCATCATTGCTTTGACAAGGGTTTCTTTTTCCTGTTTGATTGTTCCTTGGAGTTAGTTCCTCATACTAGTTTTTTCCTTTTGGTTTGTGATCGAAGTGTCCAGGACGTTGAAGCTCCCGAGTGGTGTGAGGATTCAAGGTACTATTCTTTTGCAAGTGTTCTATCTGTTGTTCCTTCTGATGGTAAATATTATGAATAGCATAGAAACATCCGAAGTCTTGTAACTGATACTCTTACATCATGTAAGGCAGCTTTAATATTTTACTCATGGAAGTTTTTTTCCAGAGATTCTTGAAGGGGAAGGACGAGAAGCTCATGAAGGGGACCTGGTAGAACTGAACTATGTATGTCGGCGTGCAAATGGGTATTTCGTTCATAGGTGAGATTTCATGCGAAGCTTCATATGCCTCAATTCATCCCTTTTTTTCTTCAAACTCATATTGTTTCTTGATTCAGCACGGTGGACCAATTCAGTGGTGAAAGCGCTCCTGTCAAACTTTTTCTTGACGACAATGACGTACTTTGATCTTGTGCTCAACTTTACATGTAACATAGCAATCCAATCATGGCCCGTACTAACAAACTGCTTGGCACAACAGGTTATTGAGGGCTTGAAGGAAGTCTTGGTGGGCATGAAAGCTGGAGGTAATAAAAGCATGAAACAACAAGAAGATTCTGGTCTTTCGATGAATCTCCTGTTTCTAATTACTCACGCTTAGCGGTATTTTCTGGTTCCAGGGAAGCGTAGAGCACTGATACCTCCATCAGTAGGGTACATAAAGGAGACATTGAAGCCAATCCCCGAGGAGGTAGCCCAGATCTTACTCTTTATTTATTTCTCTCTCTGAAGAATGAACTTGATACATATGTATGTCTTGAAAACGATCTGAGTCATGTGTGTTTGTGGATGCAGTTTGGACCACGACGCAGCCTTCTATCTCACGCAAATGAGCCTCTGGTCTTCGAAGTCCAGCTCTTGAAAGTATTATGATCATCTTCTTCGTATTTTCTATTGTAAATCTGTACAACAAACTGCATAGAACTATCTCATGAATTTGAAAAGGATTACATCATATATGGTAGGTGTCTATATATTGCCCTCTCTTTTTTTGGGCGAAAATTGTTTATATATGCATGTTGGATTTTCTATTAACAACTCAATAAAACCTATTTTAATGATGGAAAATTGTGAAAGGGAATAGGGCCGGAAAGAATGACTAATAAGTTTGGTATTGTGTGTATTGAAAACTTTGTTATGCTACTGTACAATGTATACTATTTTTATAGTTACTAATCATAAAAACGATACTAAAAAATGTTATCATAAGCCGTACACTCAATTTTTTATACAGTTTTCTTTTACAACTACTTCTTACAACTTTTAACTATTTTGTTATCGTTTCTAGTTTCCTCTAACAATTAAAAGGTTCGGACCATTTTAGATCACCAAATGAACCCATATTAAAAGGATTGTGAAAGGAATATTTGGAGTTGCACGCAAGAAAGATTCATATTTCGCTTCATTTTTGTTGTTGTTTGTTTGTTAATGAATACACGCGTATACACGCGAGATTTTTTGTTATACTATTTTTTAAATCTTGCAGAATAGTGATTTCATTAGAGCAAAATATATGATTACATATATGAGCTTTGTAAATCTGCTTTTTGGACCTGTTATTTAGAAAATGAGAAACATACGTCCATCATGATACTCTTCTCGTATTTGATATAAGAGCACGTTTATCGGACATATTCTTTGAGGTTCATGGGCCTTTTTGATTTTAATAAAATAAATTGGACTCCTTGTTGGTTGAGAAGGATCAGTATGATCAGAATCAACAGAGCCACGTGTCGGCCTCTTAGTGGTCCGTTCATTTTAGGGTTACGCAGAATGTAAAAAAAAAATCATTCTTCGTGTTTGCTTCTCTCTCGAAGAAGAAGAAGAGAGGCGATTTGGGTGACTGCGACGGAAAATCTTTTCCCTTCTTCGCCGTGTGTGTTCGTCGGCGTTTCTCTTCGCCGACGTTTTTCTTCGTTTCCGTCAGCAATCTCTTCAGCCGTCTCTTCTCTCTGTGGCGATTGGACTGGATCTCGCAGTCTCTCCGATCTGGGCGATTGAAGGCTTTGGCGACTGGATCGTCTCTTGTCGTTGCGGTCTCTCTTCGTCTCCGTAACCATCTCTCTCTCTGGTGATTCGTCTCGTCGGGATCTCTCCTATCTTCTTCTTTAGGTAATCGTCTCTCTCCTTTCTCTGATTTCTCCTTCTCTATTTCGTGTTTTCACTAATCATCTCTCCATCTTGAAGGCATGGCTGCTGCAGAGGTTCAGCTATGAAGGCGGTTTAAGATCTTCAATCGTTGGAGCTTTGATAATGTTTCGGTAATTTTCTCACCGATGCACTCATTTTTTAGTTTTTTTAAAACCGTTAAAAGTGTTGTTAAAGCCGATCTACTGCTTATTAGATTTAGTCGTTTAGATTCATTTTCTTGATTGATCCGTTCTGATATAAGAGAATTATTTGATTCATAGAAGCTCTGGATTGCATTTGATAGTGTATTTGCATATGTTCTGTTCTGCATTGTGGATTGTATTTGATAGTGTATTTGTGAATTGCATTTGATAGTGTATTTGCATATGTTTAGCTGTGGATTGCATTTGATAGTGTATTTGCATCTGTTATGTTCTGCATTGTGGATTGTTCTAATAGAAGCTGTGGGTTGTTTTGATAATGTATAATATGTTAACTAAACAAGATTAAACTAGTAATAAGTTAACTGAACTAAACTGATAATAAAGAAACTGAAAAAATCTTATTTATACAGCTCACCTAAACTGAAATAAAGTTACTTGTTATTGATGGTGATGGAGACATTAGGCATCTAAGGCAATGACTTAAATTTCCATACCTAACCCGAAATGAATACAATAGGTTGCTCATTTTCTGAAAAAACTATCTTGTTAATGACTTCACATCTCACTGTCTTGGTAATCGTATTAGTTTGATGC